AAGAGATGCTGGAGAGGATGTGGAGAAATAGGAACACTTTTACACTGTTGGTGAGAGTGTAATTAATTCAACCATTGTGGCAGACAGTGTGGTGATTCCTCAAAGATCTAGAACTAGAAATACCATTTGACCCAGCAATCCCATTACTGGGTATATACCCAAAGGATTATAAATCATTCTACTATAAAGACACATGCACACATATGTTTATTTTAAAGGCACATGCACTGTTCACAGTAGCAAAGACTTGAAACCAACCCAAATACCTATCAGTGATAGACTGGATAAAGAAAATGTGGCACATATACACCATGGAATACTATGCAGCCATAATAGAGAATGAGTTCATGTCCTTTCCAAGGACATGGATGAAGGTGGAAACCATCATTCTCAGCAAACGAACACAAGAACAGAAAACCAAACAGCACATGTTCTCACTCATAAGTGGGTGTTGAACAATAAGAATACATGGACACAAAATGGGAACATCACACACCAGGGCCTATAATGGGGTGGGGGGCTAGGGGAGGGATAGCATTAGGAGAAATACCTAATGTAGATGATGGGGTGATGGATGCATCAAATCACCATGGCACGTGCATAACTATGTAACCTGCACATTCTGTTCATATACCCCATTTCTTTTTGTTTTTTCTTTCTTTCTTTCTTTTTTTTCTTTTTTTGAGAAAGGATCTCATTCTGTTGCTCAGACTGGAGTACAGTGTCACAATCATGACTCACTGAAGCCTCGACCTCCCTGGGCTCAAGTGATTCTCCCACCTCAATCTCCTGATTCGCTGGGACTATAATATTGTACCACCATGCCCACTTAGTTTTTATATTTGTTTGTAGAGATGGGGTCTCACTATGTTGCCCAGGATGGTCTCAAACTTCTGGGCTCAAACCATCCAATCACCATGACCTCTCAAAGTGCTGAGATTACAGGCATGAGCCACTGTGCCCAACTAAAACTTTTTATGAAGAAACTCTTCTCAGAAATTGAACTTCTAGGAGCTTTCTTATAAGCTTGTAACATTGTGCTGTGTGGAAGGAGACAATATTGATGTCTTTGTTATTTACAATCTTGTTTTTCACTCTGGCTGAGTCCAGTCTATTCTAAGTCTCTCTACCAAAGGTGAGTAAAATATGATTTTTTTCTTTGAATTCCAGTCAGTGAGAAGAAATTTATTTGATTTATGTACATTTTCTTTTGTGGGCAAACAGACTGTATTAATTGCACAGATGGAATTGAGACTATATATCATTTTATCCTCAGAAAGAAGAAGGTCTTGTGAGACTGCACACTTGATTTGTTCTCTTGTTTTCTTGTTTGAGTCAATTTGATTGTTCCACACAGAGGAATATAAATCTGGATCTCTATTTTAATGAGTGTTTACCTGTTACTTCAGAGATAAAGAATTACAAAAAAGGAAATTCAAATTTGGGAAAATAATGACAACATAACAATAATAACAAATATTTCCAGAAATGCTAGCGTGCTTTCTATCCATTAAGTTATTTAATCCTCACAGTAAGCCTATAAATTCCTTATCATCCTGATTTTTCATTTGAGGACCTGGGACTCGGAATGGGCAGGCAATTGAACAATATCACAGAGTTAATAAATTGCAGGGCTTCAATTTAAACAGACGTCAATTTGATACCATTGTGTTAGTTATTGCAAAATCTCAATATGGCAAAATGGTTATCTCAATATGGTTAATGGCAAAATCTCAATATGGTTAATGGCAAAGTCTCAGTGGCATGCAACATACAACAGCAGGCATTTACTTCTTGATCAGGTATTGGTGGCTTGGTTGGGAGTTGACTGAGTAGGTTGTGCTGGGCTCCAGCTTCAGCTTGGATTCAGGTGTGCTGCATGTGCCTTTCTTTCTTTTTGGACCAGTAAGTTACATGTGACTCATGGCAGAAGCCAGTAGCACAGAGGAGAAGCATAACTGAGTAAGCACATTCCAGATGTCTACTCACATCATATTTCTTAACATTTCTTTTGGCTAAACCCCAATAGCAATGGAACAGGAAAATATGCTCTTCTCAAGGAGGTGAGGATGGGAAGGAAATGACTATTTACTGAAAAATCCTCCAATCTACCTCAAAAGCCTATGCATTTTCTCTGTCCTTTGTAATTCATAAATATTGACTGTACCAGTAGGATGACATTCTCAGTTAGGAGTCATTTTATTGTGTGTGCTTGTCATAGAGGCCACATACCAAATCATCAATTCCTATTTTCTGACTACCATTGCCTCCCTTCTTTGCTCTAGAGAATGCTTGACTCATTTTGCCTTATCTGCCCTCATTTGTTCATACTAGAAATCTGGAGGCAAAGATCATTAATGGGTGAATCTAAAAGACTATGGTTATGATTACTGTCCTAGAATAGAATTTTTTTTCTGTTTTCATGCAATTCCATTGGCCAAGGGCTTTTGTAAGGAAAATGTTCCTAATACAAGGTCTAATATCGATAGCAGAAAGCAATCAAATGTTTCGAAAATAGCAGGATGTAGCAGGACGGGAATACTTTTTTCTAGAAACTGCAAACTGCAAAGATGATTCCAGCTGAAGTATTGCAGGCAGGGGAGCTTCTTAGCTTCTTCACCTTGTGCTCAGTAACTGATGTGAAGTTAAAATGCCCCTTAGAGGCAGTTCAGTGGGATATCAACATGTAGATTTAGAGGTAGGGATTTTGCCGTCCCCACCACCATTCCCTTTGTTCACTGCTAACATGGTTAGTAAACTAAATGGTGAAAAGATTATGGGGTAGAAACAGAATTCCTGGTTTTAGCCTCAACTGTATCAGAAGCAGCATGGCTAGAAAACAGCATTTAAAGTTTCTATGACTTATTTTTCCACTTTAACAAATTATTATCATGAAACCTTTTCTTTGCTGTCAAATTTTACCTTTGTCACAAGAAATGACTGAAAAGATTGATCCTCAAAGGAATAAATTAATTTGAGTGATTTGTCTGGGAACTACTAGTCTTTTATTTTTAGATTTATAAGGGCTCAGTGACCTTCAGGACTAAAGGCCCTGACTCACTCTTGCTTCTTGGCTCATAATTGGCTTAAGATCTTTGTACAAGGAGTATCCCTCACTTCTGCTTGATGCATTCTAGATTCATGTCTCTGTTGTGATTGCCCCAGCATTTTTCTTTCTCATTCCAGAATTTTGTGTCATTTTTTTAAAGTTACATAATGAAAAGCTATAATTTTAGGTGCCTTCCATGATCTATCAGCCTATATATACTAGCATACCCATATTATGTTGGAAATTCTCTATACAGTCTTACTCAGTACCTGCCACTTTCATGTTACAATGACTTCACTACTGAGTATCCAGCTTTCCTACAGAACTTCCTTGTTCGTTATCATTATTATGCCACTTGGGGTTTCATCAGAGTTTGCAAAAGGTTCTCAGGGACCTTCTCTAGAAACTTGCAATAGCTGTCTCATAAGTACCGGACTAAGATCACTTAGGTAGGTCTGACTTCAGCAGGGCTGAAGGCATCCCAGTGTCTGCAGGAAGCATCTGGCATCTTTATCCTTCTATGGCATGAGAAGGTGTGCTGCCCAGCCATGTGTATGACACAGCTGCTTTGTGGCAGTTGGTAGTGTGAATGGAAAATGTGTAAAGCGTTTTTAGGTTTTTGGAGGACAGGCAGCGTGTTGGTGCCAAGTATTGTTGTGATGAAGAAATCCAAATCTAAATCGGTCTGTATGGTTGGATTGCTATGCTTAGTTTATTTTAAACATGGCATTTGGAGAGAATTAAAATACCAGCACACTGTGTCTTTGCCTCTTCTTTTTTTTTCTGAAGCAAATTGGTTGGGTCTGTTTGCAAAAGGATTAGCTGTAGGAGAGAGGTACATTTCTACTAGTGCCTATTGTGATAGGCCTTCTTTGTCGTATTAATTCCAGTAGAAACAATCATCTATATTGATTTATAAGGATGGAATTGAATGGGAACATTGATTCAAAATAAGAGAACAGCCATGGACATTTTGATTTATGTTGGTATTAAGGCAAATAATTCAGATTCAGCTTGTACAGTCTAAGGCTGCTTATCCAGTGGTTAGATGGCAGAATGTATTTAGCAATTTCTTGATGAGAGAAACACACCCTCATAGAATGTATAATTTAAGAAGGTGCTAGAACTGTGATTTTTTGCCTGTTATGGGGAGACTGCTACCCACATGTCAGTGGTTCTTCGATAAGAGAGGATTGCTTTAGAATGAAATAAATAGCCTTATCAGTCACTAATTTTATGGGACAAGAATGTAAATGTAGTGAATAATCAGAGAGCATGTAAATAGTAGCAGATACTTTTCAGGACCGTTGGCACTTAGTTTGCAAGATGTCTTTCTTATTTAAGAGACTGAAACTCTTGTCCAAGGAGTATGATATTACTTCAGGGGTCAGTTATGATGTGAAGGGAAAAGCAGCCTTTTGTTATAAAAGGGGATTCTATGTTTGGTAATCATTGATGGATTTACTTTGCTTTTTACTATTCTTTGTTGTTCTCTCCAGACTGACATTGATTCCCCCTCCTCACCTTTCCCATAGTCCTTTCTGTGTTTCTTGATCACAACATGTGTCACACTGAGGCCTAATTGTTCCCAGATTTGGGTGTCTCTAACTTTAAATGTTAAACAACTTGAAGGCAAGATCAAAATCTTTTGCAGCATGTAGCAGATAGGTATGCATACTCGTTGTTGAGTAAATGAAAGATTTCAGTGGCAACTGGGTTCCAAAAACAGACCTAATGTACACCAGTATGCTAAGTACGTTTTAATCGGATTCAACATTGCCACCTCACAGTCTGCTGGCCTGGTTTTCCCATCTCTAACTTGACCAAGTTGGCCCGGAGAGGCAATCTTCCAGTATGTTCTAAGTTTCAGTGATTTCCTCATTTTGAATTACCAAAGTTATAATTTATTTCAATGATCATTATTTCTAACTGATAACGTGTGTTCCCATAGGGAGCATGACTTCGGCAACTTCACCTATCATTTTGAAATGGGACCCCAAAAGTTTGGAAATCCGGACGCTAACCGTGGAAAGGCTGTTGGAGCCACTTGTTACACAGGTAAGGGATGCTTTGAAACCACTTTGTTGTATGTGTGTTTCTATTGTGATTATATCCGGACTCTTGAAAGGACTTAGACATCCTTAAAAGAGAGTAAATCATGCCATAATTCCAATTACTGAACATATATTACCGCCTGAACTATGGGCAATCTCATTGCCCTATAACATTTGAAGTGGCTTTTTAAAACTGTATCACTTTTGAAATTAAGTTGATGAGATAATTGAAGAGGGGTCCTCGGTGAAGGGGGCCCTCATTTACAGTAATAGATTCAAAGTCTAAATAAACCATTCCTCCTGCACTTTCAGATGCTAATGCACCTTTAGGAAATAACTGTGTTGACTATACAACAGCAACGTGTATTTATTGAATTACTTTTCTTTCAGTTTACAAAGCAGAATTCATCCTATCGGGGTGATGAGATGTTCCATTTTTGTGTTGTCACATTTCCACAAGATGACTGTCAACAGAAAAATGTCATCAGGATTTTTAAATTTGATATGTTAATTTTTAGTGTCTTGTGAAGCATATTCTTTGCTATTTTAACTCTGAGATTCCTGGGATGTGAATTTTTTTTAAACCTAATTAAGTTAGAGGCATTTCTATTGTCCTGTGGCTGTTATAATAAATTCCCATCTACATAGTGGCTTAAAGCAGCACAAATTTATTATTCTAGAGATCAAATATCCTAGTCAAGGTATTGGTCGGGTTGCATTACTTCAGGAGGCTCTAGAAGAAAATCCATTTTCTTGCTTTTCCCAGCTTCTAGAAACCACTTCACTTCTTTGACCCCTTTCTCTATATTCAAAGCCAGCAATGTAGCATCTTCAAATATCTCTTTCACTCTGACCTTTGCTTCTGTCCTTGCATCCCTGCTCTGACATTTCCTGTCCTAATTCCTTCCTATAAGAACCCTTGTGATTATGTTCCATCCACCCCGCTACTCCAGGACAATCCTCCCATTTCAAGATCCTTAACCCAGTCGCACCCAAAACATTTCTATTGCCATTTAAGGTAACATATCTACAGTTTCCAGGTATTAGGATGGCGTTACCTTTGGGGAGCATAATTCAGCATGCCATAGTCTACCCTCTGGCTCCCAAAGATTCAGATCCTTCCTTCAGGCAAAACACATTTCATCACATCCTCAGGTCTCCAAAAGTCTCAACCAATCATAGCATCAACACAAGTTCAAACTATCATCTAAATTTCATCAGCTTAAAAGTCCCAAATCTCATTATCCAAATTATTTAAATTAGGTATGGCTAAGGATCTGTTTATAATCTGTCCTTGGGCAGAGTTCCTCTCCATCTGTGTAGCTGTGAAACTACAAAACAAGTTATATGTTCCCAAAATGCAGTGGAGGAATAGGCATAGGATAACAGTCACAGACATTCCCACACAAAAAGGGGTAAAGTGGAAGGAAAAAAGAGTTACCAGTCTCAAGCAATGTAGAAACTTACATTGGTAAGTTTCTTACAATGTAGAATCTAATGGGAAAACTCCATTAGATTTCAAGGCTTGTGAATAATCCTCTGTAACTTGAGTCTGTGCCCTCTAGACCTAGTCCAGAATTATTTCCTCATTTTCATGAAGGGTTGCACATATTTTCAACAAGGTATTCTTGTCAGCCATCTCCCACCTGTAGAATTTTGAGTGTCCATCAGCCTTCTTGCATTGCATCCTTTTCATCAGTCCACGCTGATGGTGTTACCATCATTGTAGGATTCTCAAGAACCTTGTTATTTTCCTTTGTACATCTATAGTATTCACTTCATTCAAAAAACAGGCTCCTCTACATTTCTTTCTTGGATAATTTCATCTCAATTTTTGGCCTCTGTTGAAGTGTCTGAGAGGATCCATGAATCACATGACTCATCACTTCAAAGAGCCCTCCTTTCACTTTGAACTTTTAATCCTTATAAGGCACTTGCAAAATGCTATCCAGATATAAAATTGGCTTTCTCTCTAAGTATGCTTTCTTGAAAGTACATTTCCTAATTTTAGTGTTTTGAAGTCTTCATAAGTTGAAAATTTTTCCAATCACCAAGTCCTGGTTTCTTCTGGCTTGTTATTCCTTTTATTCATCTTTGTCCTCTCATATTTTAATATAAACAGCAAGAAAAAAACAGGCCACTCTTTCAACACTTTGCTTAGAAATCTCCTCAGCTAAACATGTAAGTTAATCACTTGTAATTCTGATTTCTACATAATTGTAGGAGTCAGTCCAGCTGAGCTTTCTGTCACCATAAAACAAAGATTCTCTTTTCTCCAATTTCCAATAACATGTTTCTAATTTTCTTCTGAGGCCTCACTAGCATCTCCTTTAATGTCCACATTTCTACCAACACTCTCTTTATGGCAACTTAGGTATTCCCCAAGATGTTAAAGGTTTTCTCTACCATGCTCCTCACTTCCTTCTGAGTCTATACCAGCAGAGCCTTTAACCAGATCTTTATTTTTAATAACAGTCTGTTCAAGGCAATCTAGAATGTTTGTATTATGCCTCTCAAAATCCTTCTAGTCTCTTCTCATTACCAATTCCAAAGCCACTGTCTACATTTTTAGGTATTTGTTGCTAGCAGTGCCCCATTTCCAAGTACCAAAATCTGTGTTTCCAATTGCTGTTACAACAAATTTTCACAAATGTATTAGCTTAATATAAAACACATTTCTTTTACAGTCCTGGGGTGAGAAGTTCTAAGACCAATGCAGCTCTAGGGAAGCATCTAGTTCCTTGCCTGTTTCAGCATCTGAGGCCCACCTGTATTCCTTGTTTGCATCACCTTCTTCCATTTTAGAGCCAGCAGCACAATGCTCCAAATTTCTCTGACTTCAGCTTCCTCTGTTATATTTTCTTCAATGAATCTTCACTCTATTGATTCTCTCTTATGAAGACCGTTGTGATTACACTGGGTTCACACAGCTATTGCAGGATAATCTCTCCATCTTAACATCCTTAACCTAAGCACATCTGCAAAGTCTCTTTTGCCATTTACAGTAACACATTCACAAATTCCGGGGATTAGAATGTGGACATCTTTGTATGTAACTGGAGAATATTTTATGAGATTCATGCACATTTTTCATTTGGTCATGACTCTTGTTAATTCTGTAAATATTTCTGCAAAAAACACCTAATCCTAATATTGATAGGCTCACTTAATATTGATAGGGAGTATGTTGGCTACCTACTCAGATTGTACCCTGTGGCCTAGGGCTGATTCATGAATTGTTTGTTAGTAGTCTGCAGTAAGAACAAAATTGAGAATAAACTCTTTAAATTTTTACAGAAGTTTGACAGAGTAATTTTTTGTCTGCTGTACCTAAATATAAAATACAGACCTATAATTGTTTATGTTTCATTTTTTAAATTATTCATCATGTTGGAATTTATAAAATATTGGTCTGTGAGATGATGGAATAATAAAAATATGGCCTTTCATCATGGATCGCTTGAGAAAGACTGGCTTGGGAAATACATTGGAGTCAGAACAATGTGGTCTGAAAGGAACTTCTTCCAGATCAGTTAAAAAGTGAGTGACCTTTTCCTAGCCTTGAAGTTTTCACCTCAGACTACATATAAGTATATTTAATCCTTATCATACAGATTAAATGAAAGAAAATATTAGAATACAGCACCCAGTATAAAACAAATGTTGAGCGAATGTAGCTTCTGTTTTTCCTGTTTGATGGCTATGTATTCAGGGTCATGCTAGTCATAAAACAATACTATATAATTTATGAGAAGGATGTAAGTGAATCAGGCATGAGCTACCACAATATTACACTTATATAACCTCATGGATTAAAATTTATATACTTGGAATTTACCCTTGAATTTAGCTTTTTTAAATAATAGCACATCTAAGATTATAATTAAAAATTCTTTTTGTCTGCTGTGGCGACTCATTCCTATAATCCCAGCACTTTGGGAGGCTGAGGCAAGGAGATTACTTAAAGTCAGGAGTTCGTGATTAGCCTGGAGAACATGGCAAAACCCCATCTCTATTACATATACAAGACTTAGCCAGGCATGGTTGCACATGCCTGTAATCCCAGCTACTCAGGAGGATGAGGCAGGAGAATTGCTTCAACCCAGGAGGTGGAGGTTGCAGTGAGCCGAGATCGTGCCACTTCACTCCAGCCTTACCAGGCGAGACTACTTCTCAAAACAAAACAAAACAAAATTATTTTCATGTGTCTTTTAGTCCAGTTATCTGAAGTCTTTCTGTTGCAGACAAAAGAAATGCATTAAAATATTTCCTTAAATTAAGGACAGTGAAGTGGCTAATTCAAATTTGTTCACATAATACAGTAGAATGTTTAAAACTTTTGTTGAATTTCATTCAAAGATTTAGCACTATAAGTAGTCTTAACATCCTTCCAGTCTCCTATGTAGTTTATATTTCTTCCTAGTATTCCATGCTGATTTAAAAAAACTAAATATGTGAATTTTAAAATGGGATTTTTCATATGATACATTTTCCCTACAATACATGACTGTGTTATCAATGCTAACCAATTTTTCCCTTGGAATTAAACCTTCCTGATAGGACTGATGTGACGGTTGACCCTTAAAGGACTTATGGATAAGAAAGAAGAGATAAGGAAATATTAGCTATAAACTTCATACTCAACGTTGAAAGCAAAGTATGGAACTGTGAGAGAGAACTAAACCAAGGCCCCAGGTGTATCAAACACATACACACAACTTTATGAGTTGAACAAAATTCATAGCAATATGCAATGATACAGTGTGTCCATAGCTATCTCACAGTGTCTAATAAGGATGGATAAGGGATGAAATGAAAAACAGAAGTCATGGAGTTCTGAGTAAAATTCTTTCACTGTCATGAGAAATGACATTAGGAATTTACTGTTGATGAGTATTTAAAATATCCCACAAAACCTTACCTCATTTCAATAATGATGTATATGAGGCCTATACATTTATTTCATAATGTTGAAATAGCAAGATTCCTTTTGGAGAAATTGCA